CTCTTTCTGATAATTAACTATCGACAGAATGATATCTACATATATATATATACAATTAAACAGTTGTTGCCAGTCATCGATTCATCGTCATTGAAAAGTGAAGAGAGTATACGTGTGTGTCTGGTGTATGTCGCATATTCCTACAATTGATGTTATTGTCCTTCAATTCTCATCATCATTAATACTTATAGTTGTCGTCGTTCATCTTCAAAAAGATCTATAAATGAACAACTGACAATGTCAATCTTTCATCTCTGTGCATCATTGCACGAAATCACTTGAAAAAAACAAAATATACCGAATATGAAAAGAAGCGAGAGATATACACCTGTCAACAACTCAATCAGATAGACAAAATTATCATGTAATATGAACACATACAACTAGTCATTAAAAAATTTTCATATTTTGAAATTAATTGCTTATTTATGAAAAGAAAAACATGTGAAGCCAGAGATTAGTTAGATGTAAATAAATAACAAGTAGACGAAAGATACCTATTCGATTTCAAAAAAACTATGTATATTGAAGGTTATCATTAGATATTGTTAATCTGTTTAATGTTTAAATATTTGTTTACATTCATTTATCCAATATCATTTGAAATTCTTCAATCTTTCCATGTGGTCGAATATCGAAATGATTAACACATGAGTGCACAGTGGCAAATATGTTTATTTTGACTATATATATATAGGTTATATACAGTTGTCGATCAAAATGTCAGCTTCTTCTCAAAGCTTCTTATCCGCTTTAGTTCATACTGTGAAAAGACTTTTAAACTATATTGTATATGCATATATATATATATGTGTGTTAAAGTATAATTTGTCTCGACTCAGCTAGCTGACATCGACACATACGACGTGTAAAAAGTCATGACTGATTGATGTGTATGTGGTTACTAGTCAACATCGTCATTGTCGATTGCATGCATGCAATCGAACGATTGTGATGAACACACACATACACACACACACAGGGAAAAAGAAAGAGAAAAGAACTATAAATGAACATTAAAGAGTATTTCTCTTCTTCTCTTCTCTTCTCCTCTGCTTATTGCACAGTTGCCAATGAGAAAGAGAAAAAGATATTGATTGTATTTGCATCAATGCAGAGTAACAACAGTGAAAGAAGCCGATTTTAATCGATGCGTATAATCGAATAGTACCAGTAAGACTATTGTATGAATGACTAAGCAAAGCAAAGCAATGTTCAATAATTGTTATCAGTTCACCATGTAAGTACTGAGAGAGAGAAGAATAGATTTGTTTGATCACCACCAACAATCTATGACAAAGTGTTTTTTTCAAGTATAGAATTTGATTATTAAAATACGACAATTATCGATAATGTGTGCACATTTGTTGTTCTTAGTTGAGCGTGTTCAACCATCTTGTTCATATGAAAATCCTCTTTTTATTACTCATTCCACTTGAACGAGAAAAGGCGTGCTTAGGATCTATGCACGCTATAATCATTAAATTTAACTCTTTTTCTCTAATGTCTGAAACAAATTGATTTTAATATTCAATCGTTATTATCATTTTTCTTCCGGTTCATATCTTGATTTTGTCGTTATCATTTATTTCTTTTTATGTACTCTCACCTTTTTCCTATTCTTTAATACTGTTAGATGATGATGTCATAAAGAAACTTTAAGTTCAATGAACCATAAAAAACAGACATACAATGATGAAGATGATGATGATGATTCTTTCTTTTTTCTCTTACAGATTTTTTTTCTTCTTGACTATTCAGAATCTCTTGAGAAGGTAAATTCGTCAACTAGTAAAGCGGTTTGATTGATGGAATAGACAAGTGATGAAATAATGACGTAATCATTGTACTAAATTCTTTTTTTTTTCTTCTTTGTGGTTGCTTTCATCGATCAATTATTCAATGTTAGCGAACATAGGAAAAGAATAGGTTATATGTTATTTGTGTGAGTTGCACACATTTGATTAAGTGGACAAACAATATATATATATATATAGGAAAAAAAGCGAAAGTCTATCTAACGACTTCTACGTTGTCTCTCGTGCATGAGCGGTTCGAAGTAAGTGACCAACACCGGAAGTTTTCATTAATGTCTGCATAGAATGAGAACAAAAAAATATAAAAGGGAACAAGTCAGGTCATCGTTGTCGCCTTCGTTCAATCATCATCAGGTCTCTTTTTGACTGCATTTCTTTTTTTTTCATTTCTCTTAATTTCTTTTATTTCCGAAAAATCGCATCGATCATTCAATGTTCGCACGCGTGCGTCCATCGTTGTTATTCACATCAACAATATATATCTATGTATATAGAATCGTTTGATCGAGTCTGGTGAATGCAATCCGACGTTTGATCATATGCTTGTCTATTGATGTTCATGTCATTTTATTCAGAGCAAAAAAAGAAAACGAAGGAATAGAAGAGAATAGAAAAAACATTACAATGAACAATCGTATAAACAGAACATCCTTGAATTGTCATCTGTTCAATGATACTGACCATTATCCATTTCCATAAAGAGAACGAACGTGCTTAAAGAGATAATAGACGGAAAATACAAATATCAATGTTATTATTAAGAATAAACGGTAACAGAACAAGACACTATCGAATAATTATGCGTACATGTTCATTTATATAAGAAAGATGAGAATGAATGTTATCCGATTATTATTCAATAATGAGAATGATATTTAACGAACAGTTTGCTTTCTTTTTCTCTCTCTCCCTCCCTCTATAATAAGACTTTTAGACGATTATTATAACCTTCCGCTTAATTGTTCAAATATTCTGAACATTATTCGGATTAGTTTTTATGTAAGTATGTATGAACAAGATCAATAATGTCGTCTATAGTAGTAGTAGTAGTATGGGTCAGAAACAGAACTCATTAAAAGCTCTTACATGTTCGTATTCTTATTCTCGATAATTTAACTAATCATTAAACGGTTTTCCTTTTTGTCTCATGTGATTCTGGTGTTAGGAGTAGCCGTGGCCTGAAGGTCTCTCCTTTTTCTATTCTGATCCATCTCCATTTTCTCGTTTTTTTTTATTCGTATTGGAATTGCAATCGAGTTGCATCATATATATATGAAGACATATTTTCTTTTTTTCTTTTTCTTTACTCTATCTTGCTTGAGGATGAATGTGTCCTTTTTTTTCTTCTTCTTCTTCTTCTCAAAGTTTGAAAATCAATTATTAAGCTTAGCCTTAGTAGAAGTATGATATGAAGAAGATTAGATAATAATAATTCTTCTTTCTATATGATAATAAGGGTGACACGAAGCAAAAAAGAGAACAAGAAGAAGAAGAAGAAAATGGTGTTTATAAAATTAGTAGAATGAGTTGAGTCAGCCACTTAGCATCTGTCCATTTGACAGCACAAGTGTTGCCACACGGGGACGATTGAGTTATATGTTGTTTGTTTATCTAAAAAAAGCTCGTTTACATAATAACGATAGAAGGAGGGAATACAAGAAAGATACACAATAGTATATAAAGAAAAAAAATCAGAAAAGGTCATTGAGCTACTACCCGGGGAAGCGTTTTCAAGAGAAATTCTACAAACATTCATCTATCAATCTGTTGTGGTTAGTTTGTCAGTTATTTGATTGAGCAGATATCACCCGTATGTATATTTCCAGTGGCGATATATATATGCTATTGTTGTTTTGTCCTTTACTTAACACGGTAGGGATAGTACCAGGAAGAAATTCGATGGGTGGAGAAGAAAAAGAGAGAAAGAAAAGTAAAACGTTTTTCGCTTTAAGAATAATCTCAAGCTTGCCTACGGAAAATATAAAATTCTTTATTATAAGAATCCTTGTCTTCTTTTGTTCAAGACAGAAGCCATGTAGTAAAAGAAGAAGAAGAAGAAAAAAAACGAGAATGTCTACGTTCATTTGATAAAGGCCAAGTAATTAAGTAGAGAAAAAAAATTCATGATTCCATCATCAATATATGTCAACATTTTTTCTACGTTTTTTTACTATTTCAAAATGATAATAAGAAAGAACTCGTTTTTTTCCAAGCCACTAAACACAATAATTCTTCGTTTCGGATGATGTTTGCATTTAAAGAAAAGAAATGAAGGAAAAGATAACATGCAAAAGAGAATAGGAAGATTTTAATTGAGAACAATATAAATCAATCATTTTCCTGTTTAAATAATGTGGAAATTTAATCATGTAACTATATTCAAGTATGTCTTTATAATAAGTAACAGGTATATTTAGTTGGTTGTTAAGTATTGTCTCGTCACTATTTTTTTTAAGTTGGCAATCAAAATTCATGCAGTAATAATCGCCTTTTTGCCTTCTAGTATTTATGACAATTCATCTTTCTTCTTTCTTTTCTCTGTCTTTACTTCCGTCGTATATATATGTGTGTATGTATGTGAGTGTCAAGTAGACGGAAGTTTTTATATAAACGACCTCGAGTATATGAGGAGCTAGAAATTGTGTGAAATCAATAATAGAAATGCATATATAAGGGTCATTTTTTTTCTGGTTGCAGTTTTTTTTGAATGCCGCTTAGAAAAAAGAGAGAGTAAGAGAGAAGAAGAAGAAAAAGGGAAGCAATACTGTTGTACGAAATGAGAAAAAAGGAATCATGATGATGATGATGATGATGATGACAGATTGTTTTCCTCTTTAGAACGACCGACAAATTTGTGGGTATAATTTAGAATAAATCCCCCTCACTCTCTCTCTCTGACTTTTTTTTCCAAATGATCGATCAATATATCGATTGTAAAAAACCCGTCGACGTGCTCAATTACAATCTGCAATCTTCTATTTTCGTCTATCGTGCGTAAGAATTAAAGAAAACGATCTTTTCTAAATAATAACCATAATTCTTTTTTCTCTTCCATCAATAATACTACTTTCAAGGTCCATATAAAAAAACAGAAGCCATCTCGTGCATATAACTAAATTGTAAGATTTCGAAATACAGAAATAGATATTCTTTATCTTCTTCATTCATTTTATTCTTTAGATAATGTTTTCTATTCATATCTATATCATATTAATATTCTTCAATTCTCCTTGTTATTATTCTCGTTTACATTCTCGTTATCATCATATATCAATAAATGAAAATGAAATCTCTCCCAAACATTTATTATCATTTAATTTACCAAATTCAATTCGATCTTATCAATTAGTATCAACAAATGCTCAATTACATAAATATTTTTCCATTGAAAATCAAACACATCTCTATGTACTACAAACACTTGATCGTGAATATTTATGTGCAGAACAATTTTGTTCATGTTTAACACAATGTTCAATACAATTAAAAATACTTTCACAACCACAACATCAAATTATATTTGTTAATATAACAATAAATGATTTAAATGATAATTTACATTCATTTCGTTATAATGAAATACAATTACGTATACCTGAAAATACAAATATTCAACATCGACAATGTTATAGAATTCCAACTGTTGATGATAAAGATTTATCTGAAACAAATGAATTTATTTATCAATTAATTGGTAATGGTAGTGAAAAATTTGAAATTGAACAAACAATTGGAAATGATTTATGTTTAAGAATTAAAAATCAACCATTAGATCGAGAAGAACGTGATAGATATGAAGATTTATGGATTATTGCAACTGATAAACAACAACAACAAGCTAAAATGAAAATTATTATACAAGTTTTAGATATTAATGATAATTCACCAAGATTTTTAACTAATTTAACAAATATTTATGTTAATGAAACATTTACTGGTAAGACAAAAAAAAAAGAAAAGAATTTTAGATCTACTTACCTTTAGGCTAATTTTTGCACTTCGATTTTAATTCTAAAATCATTCAAGTACTTCTTAAATAAACGAATACTTGACAAAGAAAAAACGTATTGTCTTTGAGTGATATTTCGAGTTATTTGTCATTGAAAATTGATTTTATAAGAATCTAACATGTAAAATTCATATTTATCATTTTATATTCAGAAGATCATTTATTATAGATGATTGGGAGAGAAAACAAAACCTATTGACAAGTAGAATATTTCATAGGGAAAATGTAGAGATGTTTTTATTCTAAATGTCAAGTTAATTTTTTTTTTGTAAATGTTAACAATCGATAATGGAAAACTTGAATATAGTCATATAAGAATAAATCATTCGTAATGAGGATTATAGACGTTAATATTCTTTTATATAGGAGAATTAATTTGTGTTCAAGCTTATGATCCTGATGAAGGTAATAATGGACGTGTTATTTATTCATTTGATCATTTTGATGATAAATTAAATGAATTTTTACATTTAAATAATGAAACTGGTTGTATATCTATAAATCAACCATTATTATTAACATCAAATGATTTAATACCATTATTACAATCAAATAATCATTTATTATTAACAATTCGTGCACAAGATTGTGGTTCACGTATGAGTTCAACATTACCTGTATATCATCCAGTTGAATTAATTATTCAAGATATTAATGATCATAAACCAAATATTCAAGTTCGACAAATTATTTCATCAATTGACATTATTAAAAATAATTCACAAATAAATATTATGGAAAATTCATTAGGACTTTTAGCTATGGTTACTGTTGATGATATTGATCAAGGAAGTTATGGACAAGTTAAATTAACTTTAATTGTACAAACAACAAGTAAAAAACATCAACAAGCATTTCAACTTAAACCAACATCAATGAAACATTATAAAGTAAAAATAAAATATTTATTTATTAATGAAATATTTTTATTTTTTTTTAATATTTAGATTGAATTAATAAATCCATTAGATCATGAAATTGAATCATCACTTATTTTATTTCTTGATGCAATTGATGGTGGTGGTGAATTAACACGTTTTATAATAAATATTATAATTAATGATATAAATGATATGATACCAAATTTTGAACATGAACATTATCATTTTATAACAAATATTCAATCATCATCAACAACATTTGATTCAACAGTTGTTGGTCAAGTTCATGCAATTGATCCAGATTCATCAACAAATTCTCTTGTTTATTCATTAAATTCAAATTTATTTCGTATTGATTCTCAAACAGGTCAAATAAGTTTAATTTCACCATTATCAATGAATATGACTGATCAAACAATAACATTTAATGTAACTGTATCCGATGGTGAACATTCAAGTCAAACACAAGTATCAATATCAGTTGAAGGTCTTAATCATCGACCTGAATTTGAACGAAATGAATATTTTTTTCAAATTGATGAAAATGTCCCTGTACGAACGATTGTTGGTCAAATTATTGGTAAAGATAAAGATTCACCTGGTACTCGACGTGGTGAATTAACATATTCACTTCGTTCAATAACACCCTATTCCGAATTCTTTTTTCATACAAGTCATACAGGACAAGTTTTAGTTACACGAATACCCGATGCTGAACAACAACATATACATCAATTTATTATTACTGTTAGAGATCATGGTAAAATCTTTCTTTTTATCTCTATAATAAAATAATTTTTCTTTTTTTTTCAAGGTACACCACCTCTATCAAGTGAAGCAAAATTAAATATAAAAGTAAATGATCTTAATGAATATTGTCCACATTTAATAAATTTTACTTCTGATCCATATATATTTATATCACGTCAACGTTTTTTAAAAAAAACTTCAATTGAAAAATTTCTCTATCGTTTATTTGCATTTGATAAAGATATATCTGATCAAACAAATATAACATTTACATTACTTCCATCAACATATTCACATATATTTAATTTAAATTCCAATGGTTTATTAACAATAGAAGAACTTCCAACAAAAATTCCATCAATAATAATACTTGATTATACATTAACAGATACATTTTTCCCGGAACCATGTATAAAACAAGATAAATTAGTAATATTAATTGGTGATACACCAATTGATCGAGATTATCTTGTTAATGAATATGAAAAACAACTTGAAACATCTCAACATCATCGTTTAATGACACAAAAATTAGCGAATAATAAACGTAAAAGACAAGAAACAATTATTGTTTTTTTAACATTTAGTTTATCAACAATTGTTATATTTATTGGAATATTTAGTCTTTTATTTCTTATTTGTTGTCGTAAACAAAAAAAACGAAATAGAGAACGATCAATAACAACAAAATCATCATCATTAATTAATCCATCATTATTAGATGATAGTAAACAACAATCACCACATTCATTTATAACGGATTGTAATGGGAAAAGTTCACTTCTTCCACCATTAAGATAATTTATTTTGAAGAAAATGTGTTCTTTTCTTTTTTTATTAAATCCGTCCGTCCAACTAGTCAAACAAACAGACACTTATTAACTTTTAGTTGTTTGCGTTTTTTTTATTCTAAAATTTTTCTCTTTTTCGTTTTCTGTATTATATTATATATAGATACATTAATGAAATATTTGTTAACCGATATTCTTGTTTCATGTCTTTAATAAATTGATATAGATTTGAAGAAAAAACTATGGACGACTTAGAACACGAGGTAATGTATTTGACAGAACAGAGAAATAGATAATCGTTAGTGGTATTCGACCTACGAACCTTCTACCATCAGACAGATGTTCTTCTAAACTAGTTATACTAAAAGGGTAATTTAATATACATTAATGTCATAGTATATCGTTATCATGTTTGTAAACTTTCGTTTGGTTTACTTAAAAACTCATATGTTTCTCATTTCTAAACGATTTTTAATTAATGATAATTTTAAACAACAAGAAGATAACCGTATCTTGTAGAATGTTAAGAATGATTATACTAGATACGATTTATCTCTCTATTCTTTATCTATACATACTATCAATAATTATGTATGCGCCATAATTAAAAATTCTTTGTTTTGTTTTTAATTTTTATTCGTATATTTATATATTAATTATGAATTATTCGACATTAGATCCAATATGTTCGAAATCATCTCATCCATTTAATACACGTGAAGTGAAAGAAATGCTTGAACAATTAATTCAACAAACAATTGATCAACAAAATGAATATGATTCGAATAAATGTACACAATTATCGAAAGAACTTTCACAAATAATAAAAGATGCAATGAAAACATTAAATTATGAACGATATAAATATGTTATACAAGTTGTATTAGGACAATGTCAAAATGATAATTTAATGATGACATGTCGTTGTTTATGGGATATTCAAACAGATAATTACGCATCATATGTTTATTCAAATACGAAAATTTTTTGTGCTGTTACTGTATTTGGACTTTTCTATTATTAATCATGAAAATCAAAAAGAACAAAAAACAAAAAAAAAACATTTCTATCATATCAAAATAAACACACATACATAGACAGACAAATACAACAGAATGACAATATTTAATAAAATATATATACAACATAGAAAGAAAATCAAGTATTATTCTCGAATATAACTCGTACATGATAAATGAAAAGATGTATACTTAAAAGAACTCTAAAGGGGAAAAGAATGAGGTAGAAGATAACAAAACAAGTGGACGGAACAAGAAGAGAAAAAAAATGATTTATAGAAAAACAAAACTATCAAAGATAATCACTCTTCTCTAACCAAGACAATCACGTAGTTTGTCGCTACTTTTTTCAAGTAATTCTAAGTATTTTGTATAATGATAATCCCATTGTTGTATACGATCTTGATATTGACGAAATTCTGTTTTCCATCGTGTTTCTTCTTCACTAATATTTGCTATAACACAAAAAAAATATCGAAATAAATATCTTTCGAAATACAAAAAAAAACATACAAGTAGCAGTCGCTAATTTGGGTATAAAATCAAGCCAAAATGAACAATATTCAGCACGTATAGCTAAACCATGATCAGGAAAAAGATTTTTACTTAAATTCGTATTTAATACAATATGTTCTCGATTTGGCCATTTATATTGACGCCATTCATTCGCCCATTGTGCATCATGTCGTTGATTTGGATTACTAAAATGTTTAGATTATATTTCTTCTGCTTCTTCTTCTTTTTGGTTTTCTTTTAAATTGAAAAATGATTACAATAAATATGTTTCATCAGGAGATATTTCTTTCCTTAAGTAAATATATTACTGACAAGTATTTTGACAAATGACAATTATTTACACCTAACAAAACATCCTGTAACGATATGTGTTTTTTTCGAGTAACTCATTTGTCATCATTAACTTTTATCAGCATGATACATACAGATGGGGTATTGATCTCATTGATGACTCTTGAAAAAACAAGAAAAAAAAAAGGAAACAGGAAAAGAAATTAATCAATATAGACTCTTTGTTTATTATTTTTCTTCTTCTTCTTCTTTGTTTTTATGATCAAAGAATATCGATTACCTATATTTAGCAAAATTTGTCCAATACGCCATCACTTTTTGACTAATAATTATTTCTTCATGTGTATAATGAAGAGAATCAGTGACATTTAATGGTTCACCAAAAACAAACATGATCTCATCAGCTAAATTTATGTAAACAATTTTTAAGATAAACTGATAAAAACCTAGAAACGATCTTATTACCATGAAGCACACCCATCCATTCATGCCATGGATTTGTTGAAGAACGTAAAGTAAAATGATAAAAATATAACGGAAGATTCTCTTTGGCATAAACATCAGCAAGAAATACTGTCGGGCATGTAAAATGATAATCTCCTGAAACAAAATAATCAAAATAAACACACACATATAAATATCATTCGAGTCAAAATAATAAACAAATCGTTTTTTTACCAACGGCTTGACCCAGTTGAACAGCATTTTGTATCGTATTATTATAATCATGCCATCTTGTATATGTTTGTAAAATACTTTCTAATAACATCGGTGCTCTTTTAGTTGGATATGTTGGCATATATTCAAAATAATCATTAACAGCACTTTTAAATGTTCTATAATCAACATATGCTGTTGAATTAATAGCCATATTACCATGTGGAACATAGATTATAAAATAGGGTCCTTCATCTTTATTTACACCTAATAGAAGAGGACATTTTTTAAAATCACCTTTCATTAACATTTGTTCAGGATCATATGGAATAAAATCACCATCAACAGTTGGTACAAATGTATAACCAACAGGTCCACCATTATATGATTTAAGTGCCCAGGATGAACGAAAATGATTTTGACTTAATATTGGATAATTTTTAACACATTCAAATTTATCTTCTATTGTTATCATACGTTTTTGACATTCACGCGGTATATAAGCATATTCAGGATCAGTTGGTCCTGATTCAAAACGATCAGTTATATAACTTGTAAAAGCATTTAAAAATTCTATTGAACGATATTTTGCTATATGTGGACTTAAAACAGCCCATTTAGCACTTGGTCCAGCACTTTCTAATATAGCATTATTGAAATATGGACGTGATTTTGGTGATAATAAATGTAAACCAACAGAAACTGCACCGGCTGATTCACCAAATAAAGTTATACGTTGAGGATCACCACCAAAACTTTTGATATTTTTATGTATCCATTCCATTGCTAATAATTGATCATATAAACCTTGATTACCTGGTGCATCTGGTGTACCCAAATAAAGAAAACCAAGTGATTCAACACGATATTCCATTGAAGCTACAATAACATTTTGTGTTGTTGCTAATATTGAACCATCATAAATTTCTAATGTACTCTAATATATATATAAACAAAAATTTTTGTTTTTGTTTTCCTTCTCTTTTTTAAAGTAAACTTACTGATCCTGATGTAAAACCTCCTCCATAAATCCAGACCATAACAGCTAATGGTTGTTGTCGAATTGTTGCAGGTGTCCAAATATTTAAATATAGACAATCTTCACTTAATGGTGTTGTTGGTGCCCAAATTGTTTCGCCTGTTGTATTAAAAAATTCAATAATCATTTGATAACATGAATTAGGTAATTTTGTTGCATTATAAATAGTTCCACGTGCCCATGGACGTTTAGGAAGTGGTTTTCGAAAACGTTTTTCACCATTTGGTGCTTCACCATATGGAATACCATAGAAAGCATAAACACTTTTCGATTCAATTGATGCTGTTGTTAAATTTGATGTATTTATAAGAAAATCTGATCGTATACCACGTATAAGACCTTGTGTTGTACATCGTATTAATGGATCCGATGTAGGAGCACATGGTTGAGCAATGATTTTCTTATTTGAAATATAGAAGAAAACTATGAAAACGATTGAATAAAACATTAACTTAAGAGTCACATTCGTGATTTCTACAAAGGATATCTCAATAATAATAATAATAATAATAATAATAATAAAATAATAATATTTTAAAAAAGAATAATAAAAAAATAATTAATATGAATTATTGTTGACTTTGATAAATGTATAATTGAGAACAATATAATACTTGATCAATAGATTATTGAACGTATAAGATAACAAAAGATTATCATTATTATTATTATAATTGACGTCGTTTAACAATATGCGCACAAGTAAACGTAACGACAATGTCTGTACGAATGATTCTAGTGTTCTGTGTATATGTGCGTATGTGTATGTGTGTTTTCACAGTTGCCAATTGTAGCAATTATGGATAAAAAGAAGAGAAAGAAGAACGATGAAGGAGGCGCGGGAGGAGAGCCAAAGAAGAAGAAGAAGGAGAAGGAGAAGAGAAAGAAAGAAAAAAAAACGAAATTGATTTCTTTTCTAGTAAGCTAACGCTTTTTTTTCTTCGTATATACGTTTTTACACATAAGTACTATATAACATATATATATATATATATATGAATGAATGATTTAATATTGTCTAGTTTAAAAAGCAAACTGAGTGCACCATTTATTTCGATATGTGTCTTTTTATTGGTTTGATCAGCAACAGGTGATAAGATCTGTTACTTAAAGAGTCGTTGTAGTTGATATTTCTTTTACTTCTTCGTCTTCGTTTTATTCTTTCTTGTCTATCGTTGCTATCGTCGTTTGTCGATGATGATAATGATTATTATTATAGGACTGACATAACCAAGCCGCCTTAGGCCGACTATAAGTGGAATGATGACGAAGAGAACAATGCGTTCTCATAGATCGATAGATACAGCGTGATAATTGAGTTGTTTGCACCTTCTAGATTATCTTTAATTCAATTGAATTAAATAAATAGGAAATTAAATATATACATGAATATTTTTCTTTTAATTTTTTTACCTACAAAAGATGTTAATAGACATATATAGTTAAGAGTATATTTTCATCAACTTCATTAAATGCTTGTTATATATATATATATATGTGTGTGTATGTTTTTTTAAGGCTTGTCGGATTATATTATTTTTTTTCCATTTCTTTTATGATGCATATGTATGCATCGTTTTCTTTAGTTTTCTTTTATTATGTTTCTTGTTCTGTCAATGATTTTGTCTTTCTTTTTGTATAAATTAAAGCTGGAATCCGTTCGATGTTGTCGCTCGTCTTCATCATCATCATCATCATCATCATCAACAGAAGCTTTAGAATCTTGTTTTCTTCTTTTTTTGTGTGTGTGCGTATATGACAAGGCATTCATGGGTATGACCTAGACACGATCAAACGAAACTTAATTGTTCTTTTTGTGTCCTTTTCTTTATTGTCATGTGTTTTTACTCAAGTTATACACAGAGACAGATAAGACGTTGACAGTTCCTTCTCATGGCGCAATCAGTGATTATCTATGTGAAGCAATGATCATCGATTTTGCAGACTCTCTTCTTTATATTCTCATTTATATATATTGCGGCATTTTCTTATCCCATTTTTTTATGTATGCTCTTTATATAGTTGATTATTGATTAAGAAGAACTCGAGACGACTTGTTGACGAAAGGGAATTATCAACAGTTTGAGTTTCTGTTTTATTAACTTTGTTTATTCATTAAGGTAATGTATGTCAATGAGATTGAATCTGGAAATATTTCTATATGTGTTTGTTAATCGTCTAAAGTACTCGGAAATATCCTATGGCGATAATATCTTTTGCGACGTCCCACGAGGAGAAGCGGCTCGAAACGAACTAAAGACGATCAAATCAATTAAAGAACTCGAAGTCTAAAAATAGGTTAAAGCAAAAAGACCTAATAAGGCACGCCCTTCTTTTCCATTAATCTATTCAGAGGTAAAGAGAAAAAAAAATTCCTTCTAACATACAGAAATATATATATATATATATATAAGAGCGCAACAACTGCTGTTTCCATCTTGCTACAAAACTATTCTTCAATAACAATGAACAGGATACAGATCATTAGAAGTGGATATAGAGAATGACGACTAACTAATATATTATAGAGTTATATGCACCAGAGGCGAACTAAACGAGATGATGTGTAATGAAAGATGAAGAAAAAAAAGCAAAATGATTTGTCATTTGCAATAAAGATCATTTCTCATTCTCTCTTTTTCTTCTACATATCAATATGTGTGATGAGATGGTGGGAGAGATCGAATGTTACCCTAAAGTCATTTGAGAAGATGATAATAACTTTATTTATAATGCGTAATAACATTTAAACATTTTCATCAAATGATTGAATAATAGATAAAAAAATACAAAGAGAATAACAATGAAATCGATATCTATTGACATAAATAATATTTTTTTACAAAAATATTTCAAGTAAACAAAATCTTGATTATAATAAATTAATAGATTCAAAAACAAAGAAAATTCTATCAAGTGAAATTTCTATAGAATTTATCTTGAATGCACTTAAACTTATACCGGATATTTACTTATAACAATAGGATCTGAAAGGATAAGTGGGCGTGATGGAAATAAAAGGAAATTACTAAAAACATGTTTAAGCTCTAATATTTATAATCCTACGTCTTTACAAATAGACTTTTTTTTTTATAATGATTTATTTAAAAAAAAACGACATGTAGTTCTTATAATAGAAAATAATTCAAAACATGAACAAATGTCTTTTTTTCTTTGTAATTTTATATCAAATCTATAAAATATAAGATTACTTATAGATTGAGTTTCAACTTGTTATTTAAAAGAATATCATTTGATGAATGCTTAGAAATCTATTTTTATTTTCAAACAAAAGGTTTCATATATCTCTATTCTAAAAATATTAAATGTCATTTGTAGGACAATTTGACATAAATTTTTCTTCATTTTTTTAAAGATACCAGTCTATATACTACTGACATCTATTTAATAAATTGAGATATAACATTGTGTAGTAATTTGAGAAGATTATTTGAAGATTTTTAAAACTTTTATAAATAGTTTTCTGAATAAATATAAAAAAATAAAATTTTCATTGGTAATAAAAGCATAACAAATGAGTGAAGGACATCATATTTCGTTGAACAACAGGTCATACATTCTCTTTTCTTTTCTCTTATTCGTTATATATTTACCTTACGTCTATAACCTTGTATTACCTTCTTCGTCATAATAATTATAATGTCTTCAATTAGTGCTGATAAATTACGACATGAAATTCAAATAATTCTTAAAGATGCTGATTTAAATACTTTATCATCAAAAAAAGTTCGACAAACACTTGAAACGATATTTAACTGTGATTTTACTGAACGAAAAAAAGAAATTGATGATATACTTATGTCAGAAATAACAGCACGTGATATAGTACCAATTTCAGCACCTGTTGAACCTATTCCTGTGAATAATGATTTACAATGTACAACAGTGATTAATGAATCACAAACAAATAATATTTCTACACAATCAAATGATGAGCAAAATAAACAAACAGATAAAGAAATACCAGTAGAAACTCCTCAACAAGAAAATCGTCCAAGTGTTCGAACAACTTCAGCTAGTTCAATAGTATATAAACAATCTACAGCAGCTGCACTTAAAATTGAACGACGACGAACATGTTATAATAAAGAATTAGATATAAGTGATCAATTAGCTTGTGTTGTTGGAGGACATCGAGTAAATTTTTTATTCATTTTAACGATATATATATATATGTTTATTTATTGAATATATGTAGATGCCTCGATCAGAAGTTGTTAAACGTATGTGGGTTTATTTTAAACAACATAATTTATTGGATCCTGTCAATAAACAATATGTTAATTGTGATGAAACACTTGCTAGATTATTTGGTATGTCTATTTAATATTAATAAAAAAATGAATAAAACTTTTTTTTTTAATAGGGCGAAGACGTATACGTGCATTTGGAATGTTAAAAGATCTCGCTAGACATCTGAGTGATCCAGATAAACAACAATTAGATTAATTTTCAAATTCCGTAGCCATTTTCTTTTTACTGTGATAGATTAGTTAAATATTCGAATTATAGGACATCACTGCTTTCTTTTTTGTAGAGCGAATTTGTTTGTAGTAGTTTTCACATATAATATGTGTGTTTGTATAAAGTTATATATATACAGTAATATGTTTCGATTATTTACATTTTTTGTAGATTTGATATTCAGATAAGTTGAGTTTTATTTGTAATTGTTTTTTTTTAGATTTAGTAAAGATTTAAACGTAGAATTTTGTTGTTTGTTAAACTAATAAACAATAAATGTGAATATTATTTCGAGATAAAATAAAATTGAGAAATATGAGTATTAGATATATATTGACAAATATTTTGCAATGTATGTGTTCGCATACCATTCAATTTTTTTCTGACGAGACTGGATAATGAAATTTGATCATCTAATGTTAGATAAAATGTATCAAGGAAAAAGGATAACAAATAAATTTCTATAATTTTAGATCATGACACGACGTCTTCTAGTTCTTGTGTTTATTACTTTAACAATCTTAGTTTGTAAGATAAATTCTCACGGTCATTCTCATGATCATGGACATGGACATTCTCACGATCATGGACATGACCACGGACACGTACATGGACATGGTCATGCTCACGACGACGAACCAGCTTCATTTAAATATTCTCGAGAAGCAAATGAAGCCTATGCTCCACCACATTATAATGAAGGAAGTGATAGTGACGATGATGATGATGTTGAAAGAGCTGAACCATTTTCTGTTATGACTTGGGCATTATTATCAACACTTGGAATTAGTATAGCACCTGTTATTATTCTATTCTTTTTTAATATAACTAATAGTCCAAAAGATCAAGCATATTTAAAAATTCTTTTAAGTTTTGCATCAGGTGGTTTATTAGGTGATGCATTTCTTCATTTAATACCTCATGCAATGTTAGCCTATGGTGAAAAAGGTGGACATTCACATTCACATTCACATTCACATGGTCATGATCATAATCATTCAGCTGATATTCAAGTTGGTTTATATATTCTTGCAGGAATATTTCTTTTTCTTATTGTTGAAAAATTTGTTCGACATGTCAAAGGTCACGGACATTCTCATGCACATGCTCATGAAATAGCTGCAACTGTGATGCCAGATGATAATGATGATGATGATGATAATGGTAAGAAAAAAAAGAAGAAATCATCGGAAAAACCCAAATCAAAAACAGGTTCAGAAGTAATACCAAAAAATGATATGAAAATATCTGGTTATTTAAATTTAATCGCTGATGGTCTTCATAATTTTACTGATGGTTTAGCTATTGGTTCAACGTATTTACTTGGACGAAAAGTTGGTAAGAAATTTACTAAGAAACAAAAAAAAGAAAGATTTGTTTTATATAATTTTTAACTTAGGTTTAATGACAACAATGACAATATTTTTTCATGAAATTCCACATGAAATTGGTGATTATGCTATATTAATTCAAAACGGATGTAGTCGAAAAAAAGTTTGTTTTTAATTTTTTTTCAAAAATAAATATCTATTTCTTTTGAATAGGCCATATTATTACAATTAACAACTGCAATTGGAGCTTTACTTGGTTGTTTAATTGGTCTTTTATTTCATTCAGCAGGTGCAGAAGCATGGGCAACACAAACATTTCTTCCAATAACAGCTGGTGGCTTTATTTATATCGCTACTGTTAGTGTTATACCAGAATTATTGGAAACAAATAGTGGGTTTAAACAATCAATTAAAGAAATGCTTGCACTTATTTTCGGTGTTTTTATTATGGTTCTTGTTGCAATATACGAATAAAAAACTTCAAACAAAACATAACTTATTCGTAAATTTTTAACGTTTTTTTTCTCGTTCTATTCTTATTCATCTAAGTTTAAACCAATAAAACCAAGTATCATCCATAGAGAATTATACATATGGTAATACGAATAACCGGTTTTCTTTTCATATTCGTCAATATTGACTTATATTAGAAATTTCTTTCTCGTCAACAACAATATCATGTTTTTTTTTTGTTAAAAGGTGTTGGTTTTGTTTTTTTGTAGTACTTATTTGTTTTTACTCGTAACTATTGGAAAATAAAAAGATTTATAATTTATTTCGTTTTAAATTAACTGATTATATATCGATCAGTTGAAAGTGGTTGTGGGCGCGGGTATTCCTTTATTTCAGACTCACACTCTCAAGAGGGAGTAGAAGAAATATGAGTGTAGTGCAGAGATGGGCAAGTCATTTTTCAAGTCAAGCTGAAAAAACCTTTGTAACTTTTCTCACATAAAGGATATGATTTTAGTTCTCACTTTATCAAGTTTACAATTTTCCTGGCTACAAAATGACATATTATGGTTAAGATTTTCTTTTATCAAAACTCGTGTAATGCCTTCGGCAAGTCATGACTTGAAGAAGATGAGCTAAATTTGTTCGGTCAAGTCAAGTCATGACTTGTCGAAGGCATTACACGAGTTTTGATAAAAGAAAATCTTAACCATAATATGTCATTTGGTAGCTAGGAAAATTGTAAATTTGATAAAGTGAGAACTAAAATCATATCCTTTATGTGAGAAAAGTTACAAAGGTTTTTTCAGCTTGACTTGAAAAATGACTTGCCCATCTCTGGTGTAGTGGAAGAAAACAAACAACATGTACGAATATATAAGGTCGTAATCGGTGTTTCTTTGAGCATATAGTACGACTTTAACATTAATTTCAAAGCAAAATGAGATGCTATATAGTAATTTATTTTCTCGTTTATGTAAAGTCTTAAAAGTGTTTGAGACTAAATTTTATTTTATAAATACCTCGTCTCACTATTAGAATGTCATCTAAACTAAAAAATAAAAATAAAAAGTTCACTTCAATAGTCTCTCCAATTGCTTGCGTTAATTGTGACCCTTCTAGCATAATAAAAAGCACCAAAGATAACTTGCAGAGATGGTGTACGTTTTGCAGCTACTTCACGTAATAAATCTTGATTTTCATTTGAAAATTCGTGATCTCCCAAATATAACAATTGCAATAATTGAATCAATACTTGCGTTCATTAGTTCAATAGGGTCAAACGAAACCCGGGTGTTAACATCGCCTATGTTTAGATCTAACAGCGTGTTGTTTTCATGTTGCAATACACGGCAGATTTCTTGTACACCTTCATCATCAAGATAATTTCTGCATACTTCAAGTTCTACCAATGTTTTGTTGAATTTTAACATTTCGGCCAAGTAACGTCCTCCTTGTTCGGTTAACTGGTTATGACCAATATAGAGCTTTTGACATTTTTTATTTGTTTTCAACTCTTCACAAATTATTTTCATATCAGCATCAGATAACTCTTTACTGGTGAGTTCTCAGTGGCTTTTGTCTTTAAACTGTTGAATGGCATTTTGAATCTTTTCTGTATCAGTTGTTGATATAGACGAAGAGGCCATTTATTATCACCGACTGAATCTAAAGCGTTGATTAAAAAAAAAGTTATCAGAATAATTGCACACTGATCCCGGTAATATTCTAGCGATAGTCGCATACACAAATGAATGACGAGAATAGGTTTCTCATTCGTTCTCTATTCCTTTTGGTTCATTTATTCAACCGTAACTATTTGAATTACCTAAACATTATAAATAAAGAAAAAGAACGTAGCGCGAGAGTGAGGGTAAGCATCTGAAGATGGTATGATGGAAAAAAGAACAGATAATATAGAAAGAAAAAATATCGAAGAGAAAAGAGGAGGTATGCACGACCACTTCGACACAATCATCAAATCACTCCTCTTGTGATTCGTATGTGACGTCAGTTGTATTTGTTTTTTAGATGGCGATGTACTAATTGATTTTTGTTTACTTTAAATATAATGACTAGTCCTTCTGATACAGTTTTATTTATTATTTCTCAAAAAAAAAACAAGAAAATGTTGCATATCGATAACTTCCTCTTCAAATTGAATAAGAACATAAGCACAATAAAAATACTATCAATGCTTGGATCCACAATGTACTGAGGATGAGGGTATTGTTGTGCGTCAGGGTGAACGTGTTGTTTTATGATTTTTACCAACACCGTCACCTTCAAAACTAGCGATTAGAGTGAGGGCGAATGGAAAAGGATTAGTATTACCGCAACAAAAAACGAAAAACGGTGCTGTGAGTCCAGTTTGACCTACAGACGGTGTTCGAGGGTTAATGCGGCTTTTTCAGTGTTTCTTAACGTATATTAAATTATGGAATATGAACATATACCTTTATAGAGACAATAAACTAATATGGTTGAACGATCTTTGTAAATTATTTCTCTATCTTGTCTTTCTGTATTTTTTCTTCTTTCCCCTTTGCATTTTATATCGCTATTGCTCTTGATATACAGAGCTTTAATGATCGTTTATATATTAAATAAATAATACGAAATATATTGGCGAAATTTAACTTAGCATTTCTTTAATTATTTTAAATCTTAGCACATCATTTATTCTGCGAATGATTTCGATAAAAATTGATACCGAAAAAGCAAAAGTTATGATTAGAAGACTGAACTTATCTTCTCCGTGAAGATATAGGTCAGTCTGTTTTTCGTCATAATTTTCATGATTGTCTGCATGGCCCAGCGGGAGAAGAAGAAGTGTTGCTACGTCTTTGGTTTCTTCCTTGCTGCTGCTGTTGTTGTTGATAGTTTTGGTCCTGAGGGTGGGGGCGCGGCTCTTGTTGTTGAGCTTCGGAGTTCGTCGACGTTGGAGGCTCGATGTAGTGAATGTTGAAGGTTTTGTCGTGGTTGATAATAAAATCGAGAAGCTTATGTCTCATTGATAGAACATTTTTGCACTGTTTTACAGCCGCCTTATAATTCGGTGTCCGGCGGAGTGGTGGCCGAAGACTACCCATGAATAGCACATCCAACTTGAAGAACTCTTTCAAACCACTCTCAATGACGGTAGGATTCTTGAAAAATTCATTGACAAATTCCTCGCGTTCATCGTCGCTCTTCTCTTCGCAATGAGTAAGAAGAAGAAAAAAGTACTCGCTCATCGGCGAGAAATGTTTCTTCATGAGTATCATTGAATCGATATCTTCGGTATTGATGCCAGAAGCACTACTAAAAACGAAACCAAAAGCATTGATATGAGTTGTATCTTTATTGATACATTCGTAGACAAGTTTCTGGATTGTGTCATTTGTTAGTTGCGTTCCAGTAGCAGTGACCTTGTCATAGAGACCTGGTGTGTCGATAAGATTGAGATAATAGACTACGTCGTTTTGTGCGATTGGAGCGGCAATATGGTTGAAGGATATTTCGCGCGTTTCTGAGTACAGCTTCGAAATTTCTGGAACATAGTAAGGGTCTTGAATTACTTTGGCCACCGTTGTTTTTCCAGTGCGTGTGCGACCAATGAGAACAATGTTGCGGTGAACACAGTTAGAAAATGTAAAAAAATTTCGCTTGTTAACCTTCGATTTGACATTCTCTATCATTTGATCGAAGTCTTCGTCACCACTGTCACTGTCTGATTCCTCTATAAATATATTAAATGATAAGTCATGAGTTGAAGCAGTATCTTATCGATTTTGCTATTCCTTACTGCTGTTTGTAGGATTCGGTAGCGTGAATACGGATGACTAAAGAGAAAATATTTTCAATTTCGATGCGTCTTCAAAGTGGAGCAAAGTTCTTACTTGATTCTTAGTCATGATCGATTTGAATGAAGAAATTCGAGTTTATATATATATAAAAAGAAAAAAAGAATAGTATTAGATACACCCTTATACAAGATATTGCGTATGGTTTAATTTCTTCGTTTTTAACTTAAAATGTATGTATTTCAGAGTATGCTTTATCGTTCATACACTTGAATTGGGAAATGTTTTTAATTCAATCAGCTATCTTTTCATCAGGTACTGATGCGGCGGAAGCGGTGGAAAGCATTTTAACTACATAGTAGCAACCTATGAGGCAAAGAGCAAAACAACACAAACATGTTTTTCCACAAGAAAAAATTGTACGTAAGCAATGACAGCAACAAAAGCAACAATCACTTTCACCAAAACTCGAATTCTTGATTGTTTGCTCATCAGTGTTATCGTGATGTGTACCTCCTTGTTGATAAAGAGGGAGAGTTACATCATTATTGGCTGTAACAGTCTGTTGGTTGTTGTTGTTCGTGTTAGGAACTGTTATTAGACATTTATCGAGTAGCAAATCTCGCATTTGAAGAACGTTTGTGTGTTCAAAGGTTATTGCGCGTCGATTTTGCTGCTTAAGCGATTCATATCGAATACAGCCAATGAAAAAAGTACCTTGCTTGAAAAATTTACGCAAGTCATGATGAACGACATCTGGGTGGTTAAAGAAATCCTTGATTAAATCGTTTTTTTGGTCTTGATAAAGTTCTTCACAATGTGTCACCACCAACATCATCCTCTCACTAAGATGAGGTAGTTTTTCTTTCACAACAAGCATCGATTGAATATCTTCATCATTGATTCCATTTATAAGACTGAAGACAAAAGCGTATAGATCGATTGATACTGTGCTCATTACATTTTGTAACTGTTCAAAAATAGCTTCATTAGTCAGTAATGAACTTAAGTGTTTCTGTTTGTCATAAAATCCTGGCATGTCTACAATTTGTAGGCCACCAATCCACTGCTGCTCCGGTTGACGAGTAGCTGAGTAAAGTTGTGGTCCTGGTGGTCGATAGAGACTGTCACCGAGAACCTTCACAATTGTAGACTTTCCGGCACGCGACGAACCGATAAGGGCAAGAGTACGTGGTTCAGTATCAGGCACCATTCGGTGTAAAGATGGATCCCGATCACGCACATCGCGTAAACTCTTGATAATTGCACCAGCAGGATCGATAGTAGAGTCTATAGCTGACATCGCAATTATCTGAAATCTACACCTTGTGTTAGCCTTTCCGAAAGATACTTTGACTATCGAAACTCAGCGATACCTCCTTTATACTTGTGTCTGGTTGTGAAGAAACTTCCAACGTGTCAAGGCAAGTTTTCGTTTGTTTCAGGAATAGAATATCTATCAAAATACGTAAAGACTATATAGTCGAGATAAAAGCATAAATATTGACAGTAAGCAGTTGGTAGAAAGACCTTGAAGATAAGAAAAGAATACGACTCTCTCAAATTCGACTGTGTGCATTTTGAGGGACGAGTGGATGTGTGTTTCAATTAAAGATTGAGACTATGGAT